TGTATGTATGTATTTTTTACTAATTCTTTTTGGTACTGAGGATTCAACCCAGGGCCTTTGCCCTAAGCTACCTCCCTTTACCCAGCCCTCCCTTTCTGAGACAGGGTCTAAGTCACCAAATTGTGGTCCTCTTGCTTCAGTTCCTCAGTGTTGGTATTATAGGCACGTGCCACTGTGCCTGGCTCACAGAACAAAAAAACCTTGAACACTATTTTTATGTCTCCTTTGTGCGCTTCTGCCTTCCAGCTTGAAGTATGTGGGACAATGGGGCAAGCCTTAGGGCAAGCCAGAGGACAGTCAAGGCAGGGCCGTCCTGGCATGACCCCAACTTTGTCCACAGAGCCCAGCAGGCAGCCCCTGGGTGCCAGGTTCAGGGTTCTGTACAGAAGGCTCCATCTGAATCTGCTCTTCCCTCCCACCTCTCCATATGGGTGTGCTACAGGGGGATCAGATTCAGAGCCTTAATACTGAGCTGCATCCCCAGCCCTTTTTTGGTTTGTTTGTTTTTTGAGACATGGTCTCACTAAATTGCTGTGTTGTGTAGGGTGGGCTTGAATTTGTGATCTTCCTGCCCCATCCTCCTCTATATAGTGCAGGCTGGCTGTGAATTCACAATCCTCCTGATTACAGGACGCAGCACCACCTCCCACCTAATCGATTAGGTTTTAAACATTAAGAAGCTGATCCTGCGATATGGTTGTTCTTTCTCACTTCCCAAATTGTGGGTGCTTTGTTTTTAAATATATCTGCCTCAGCCGGGTGTGATGGCATACGCCTGTAATCCCCAGCATTCTGGAGGCTGAGGCAGGAGGATCGCTGTGAGTTCGAGACCAACCTGGGCTACATAGTGAATTCTAGGTCAGTCTCAACTATGCAGTGAGACCCTGTCTCAAAAAAACCAAAATTAATTAATTAATTAATTAATTTTAAAAATCTGCCTGGAGAGGGACAAAGCTTCAATTTAAGCCAAGGATTTAGCTCAGTGGTTCTGCCGCCTGACTTGCAAGCACAAGGACCCGAGTTTGATCCCCAGTACCAAAAAAAAAAAAAAAAAAAAGCTTCAATTTAAGAAAGCCAGCCCTAAACCAACTCTACAACATATCCCAGTTTGGAAAAAATTACCCTTATAGTATTTTTTGGTGGTGCTCTTGCTTTGTCCAGGCACCGAGCTAGCCCTGGGGCTTTCAAAGAGTCACCCAATCCGTCAAGTGGGCTAAAAAGCCTCACTTTAGGAATGGGCCAAGGGTGCACAGAGAGGTGATGTCACCTGCCTGAAGTCACCCAACTGGAAGGGCAAGACCTGGATCCAGAGCCCTTGACATTTCTATGAGGCTCCACAATGCTGAAATTCAGGAAGAAAAGCCTCAAGGCACTGGGTCTGGGCTGCTGTGGTGACTGTTGACAGTGAGGAAGCTTCCTGCCTGCCCCAATCCACTCTCCACTACGAAAGCCTCCAGCTGGTTTTCCTCCCACTGTGGTTCACATGGAAAATGTGAAATCGGGCTGAACCGTTCGGAATTTTCTTCCCTCCAGACAGCCTGGGTGAGTGAGGAGCCTTCACTTCCCAGGGAAGCGGGCGCTCTGGCCCCACAGCTCCGCCATTCCAGGCATTCCGGTGACCGCATGTCAGCTAAAGGCTCGGGCTCCAGAGGCTGAGAGGCTGGCGGGTAAGCAACCCTTGGTGACTACTTAGGAAGAAGGACGCAGAGGAGTGGATGGCCTTGGGCGGGGAGCCTGGGCTGGCGTTTTGCAGGAATCGACAGGGTTCTGAGGCTGCCTCCCATCTCCAGCCATAACCACCCTGAACACACCCGGTCTCCTCCTCCTCTGAAGCCACCTCCCTCCTTCCCTGCAGCTGTCATTTTCCCATCCGGAACAAAGTTGGGGGACTTCCCATACCCCGTTGCCTTTGGAGATGCGAACTGTATCTCTTTAAGTAACTGGCTTCTCTCATCACACTTCAAATAATAAAATAGAGGGGCCGGGGATTTAGCTCAGTGGTTCGGTGGCCCGCCTTGCAAGTGCAAGGACCCGAGTTCAATCCCCGGTACCAAAACAAAAACAAAACAAACAAATAATAAAATAGAAAATTCAAATAAAAATGGCAGATGCTAAGCTGGATGTGGTGGCACAGGAGGAGCTATAGCCCCCGGTTCTTGAGAGGCTAAGGTAGGAGGATCACAAGTTCAAGGCCGGCCTGGGCAATTTAGAAAGAGCTTGTTTCGAAATAAGATAAAGTAAAACTAAATAAAATAAAATAAAGGATGGGGGTTGCTGTAGTCATAGAGTGCTTGCCTAGTATATGCAAGGCCCTGGGTTCCATCCCCAGTGCCACCAAAAAAAAAAAGAGCCAGGCGTGATGGCACATACTTGTAATCTCAGCACTCTGGGAGGCTGAGGCAGGAGGATCACAAATTGGAGCTCAGCCCCCAGTCTGGGTAACTTAGCGAGGCCTTCTCTCAAAATAGAAAATAAAAAGGGGCCAAGGATGCAGCTCAGTGAGAAGGCCCTGGGTTCAATTCCTAGTACTGAAAAAGAAAAAGAAAAGATACCATTTTCACCCAGTGGGTTAATCATGTCAGTTAGTCAGAGCGTGGAGTGGGGCTGGAGATTTGGCTCAGTGGTTCCACTGCCTGCCTCGCAAGCACAAGGTCCCGAGTTTGATCCCCAGTAAGAGTGTGGAGTAGTAGGAATGATCACCTACCACAAATAGAGTATCAACTGGAGGAACTCCATTGGCAAACAGTTTAGCATTTCCTCATGCACCTAAAGATGTGGGACAACCGCCTCGTGACCTGGTGCTTCTCCTCCTTGGTACACACGAGATGGAGAAACTTCCGTGTGTTTTCCAGCCTACGGGGATGGGACTGTCCTGGGGACTGGGGTGTGGCTAAGTCTGGAGCACTTTCCTGGCACGGAGGCCCTGTGCAGGATCCCCAGCAGCACACACACACACACACACAAAACCACATATTTTAGATATATTTACTGTACCAACTCAAATAAATATACTTGGATATATATGGATATATATCTATATCTATGCCCTTTTGTGGGGCATGATGTATTTTAAACAAAGAAAGTATTTCTATAGCTGCGGGCAAAAGAGTAGAGCAGAGAAAGAGGCCAAAAAAGAGGGGAAGTAGCTGCCTGGGTAGAGAAGGAGCCTTCCTGGCCTTGCGACATGCGACACTCCACATTCCTCCCCATTCTTGTCCGTTAATGAGTGACCTTGAACCAAGGAGACCTCTGTGGACTCTCTGGGGGCTGATGTGTGGCTCAGTGGGAGGGCACATGTCTCACACGTGCATCCAAGGCCCTGGCTTTGACTGGGACAAGGGGTAGGGGAACCTCTGTCTTTTCCCAGCAGAGCCAGTTTTAATGAGTACGGCAGGCCCAGTGAAACCACGGGAGACAGAGGAATTCCAGTTCTTTCCCACCAACAATCCCTACGGCGGGGTCTGAGGCAGGTCCTTTCACCTCCTGTGCCCGCTTCCTCATCTGTAGATCAGGGTAACAGCACCTTCCTCCCAGAATTGTCTGCTGAGGCCGGGACAACAGCAGCACAGAGGCTGGCACACAGCGGGTGTCCTTTTCATCCCTCTCAACCTAAGCTTTCTACCAGGGCTCAGGAGATCAGTGCCTCTCCTTTCTGAAGGGTCTTTACCTGAGTCATAAAACCCTGCCAGAAACAGAGAGGATGTATGAGTTTAATGGGTCCTCAGAAGCCAGCCTCGTCCTTTTAGAGGAAAAAAACAAGGCTCTGTGATAAAGGGTTTGTTGCAGTAGAATCAGTTCCCCACAGAAGAATTCATGTCTGTTCTCTCTGGAAACCCAGTGGTACGGATGAGTGAGCTGGGGTGGGGAAATGACTCTCACAAATCTCTCTCTTTCACAAAGGGCCTACATAGCTGCTATTTCATTTCATTCTCTTCTACATAGACTTCCTACAGCCTCGGTTTTCTCCTCTGGAGAATCAAGGTATCAAGTACATAAGTGTACACGTTATCAGGTATAACATATGTGAGAAAGACTGACTTCACAGGGGCACAGGGGTAAGAGTGTGTGTGTGTGTGTGTGTGTGTGTGTGTGTGTGTGTGTGTGTGTGTGCCTGCAT